TCCCTGATGTGGTGTTTTACTGTGGTGTTTTACTGTGGTGTTTTACTGTGGTGTTTTACTGTCTCTGATGTGGTGTTTTACTGTCCCTGATGTGGTGTTTTACTGTCTCTGATGTGGTGTTTTACTGTGGTGTTTTACTGTCTCTGATGTGGTGTTTTACTGTCCCTGGTGTGGTGTTTTACTGTCTCTGATGTGGTGTTTTACTGTCTCTGATGTGGTGTTTTACTGTCTCTGATGTGGTGTTTTACTGTCTCTGATGTGGTGTTTTACTGTCTCTGATGTGGTGTTTTACTGTCCCTGGTGTGGTGTTTTACTGTCTCTGATGTGGTGTTTTACTGTCTCTGATGTGGTGTTTTACTGTCTCTGATGTGGTGTTTTACTGTCTCTGATGTGGTGTTTTACTGTCTCTGATGTGGTGTTTTACTGTCTCTGATGTGGTGTTTTACTGTCTCTGATGTGGTGTTTTACTGTCTCTGATGTGGTGTTTTACTGTCTCTGATGTGGTGTTTTACTGTCCCTGATGTGGTGTTTTACTGTCTCTGATGTGGTGTTTTACTGTCCCTGATGTGGTGTTTTACTGTCCCTGATGTGGTGTTTTACTGTGGTGTTTTACTGTGGTGTTTTACTGTGGTGTTTTACTGTCCCTGATGTGGTGTTTTACTGTCCCTGATGTGGTGTTTTACTGTGGTGTTTTACTGTCCCTGATGTGGTGTTTTACTGTTCCTGATGTGGTGTTTTACTGTGGTGTTTTACTGTCCCTGATGTGCTGTTTTACTGTGGTGTTTTACTGTCCCTGGTGTGGTGTTTTACTGTCCCTGATGTGGTGTTTTACTGTCCCTGATGTGCTGTTTTACTGTGGTGTTTTACTGTCCCTGGTGTGGTGTTTTACTGTCCCTGATGTGGTGTTTTACTGTGGTGTTTTACTGTCCCTGATGTGCTGTTTTACTGTGGTGTTTTACTGTCCCTGGTGTGGTGTTTTACTGTCCCTGATGTGGTGTTTTACTGTGGTGTTTTACTGTCCCTGGTGTGGTGTTTTACTGTCTCTGATGTGGTGTTTTACTGTGGTGTTTTACTGTCTCTGATGTGGTGTTTTACTGTCCCTGGTGTGGTGTTTTACTGTCTCTGATGTGGTGTTTTACTGTCTCTGATGTGGTGTTTTACTGTCTCTGATGTGGTGTTTTACTGTCTCTGATGTGGTGTTTTACTGTCTCTGATGTGGTGTTTTACTGTCCCTGGTGTGGTGTTTTACTGTCCCTGATGTGGTGTTTTACTGTCTCTGATGTGGTGTTTTACTGTCCCTGATGTGGTGTTTTACTGTCCCTGATGTGGTGTTTTACTGTGGTGTTTTACTGTGGTGTTTTACTGTGGTGTTTTACTGTCCCTGATGTGGTGTTTTACTGTCCCTGATGTGGTGTTTTACTGTGGTGTTTTACTGTCCCTGATGTGGTGTTTTACTGTTCCTGATGTGGTGTTTTACTGTGGTGTTTTACTGTCCCTGATGTGCTGTTTTACTGTGGTGTTTTACTGTCCCTGGTGTGGTGTTTTACTGTCCCTGATGTGGTGTTTTACTGTCCCTGATGTGCTGTTTTACTGTGGTGTTTTACTGTCCCTGGTGTGGTGTTTTACTGTCCCTGATGTGGTGTTTTACTGTCCCTGATGTGGTGTTTTACTGTCCCTGATGTGGTGTTTTACTGTCCCTGATGTGGTGTTTTACTGTCCCTGATGTGGTGTTTTACTGTCTCTGATGTGGTGTTTTACTGTGGTGTTTTACTGTCCCTGGTGTGGTGTTTTACTGTCCCTGATGTGGTGTTTTACTGTCCCTGATGTGGTGTTTTACTGTGGTGTTTTACTGTCCCTGGTGTGGTGTTTTACTGTCCCTGGTGTGGTGTTTTACTGTGGTGTTTTACTGTCCCTGGTGTGGTGTTTTACTGTCCCTGGTGTGGTGTTTTACTGTCCCTGATGTGGTGTTTTACTGTCCCTGATGTGGTGTTTTACTGTCCCTGATGTGGTGTTTTACTGTCCCTGATGTGGTGTTTTACTGTCCCTGATGTGCTGTTTTACTGTGGTGTTTTACTGTCCCTGATGTGGTGTTTTACTGTCTCTGATGTGGTGTTTTACTGTGGTGTTTTACTGTCCCTGATGTGGTGTTTCACTGTGATTTACCAATGACAGACACACAGCCGAGAGGAGCGATGAGCGACGCCGGAGCAAATCCATATGCAGCAAAGTTTCCCAGTTCTCCCAATCCCATGAGCAAGATCCCACACCACCACAGACGACTGGTGTAGTACGGCCTCGTCCCGCGCTGAGACTGACGCATGTGTGTGTATTTCTGCACATCAAACACCAGCAGAGATCTAACACTGAAACACTTAAGAGCAGATGTTTGTGAGTGTATGTTAATGCAACAGTTAAAGAGTGTGTTGAGGTTCACCTGGATATTTAAGGAGATGCTGATGAGAAAGTTTCCACACACTGCAATGCAGATCCCCACAATATAGACCTGGGAACACAAAACATCAGCTCATAGACCACAGAAACATACGTGTGTTGATCCTGAAACAACATTCCTATCAAAGATAGTCAAAAATGTCAAAATTAATTCTAAAATTATAAGGAAACAATAGGCTGATAAATAATGTTGTTAGTGTAGGGAAAGATGGGACTGACTACAGGAGTACAGTCAAACAATACACTGAGTTTATTCTCAGATTAGAGGCTGTAGTTTGAGTTTAATATCAGATTAGAGGCTGTTTTAGCTGTAGTTTGAATTTAATCTCAGATTGAGTTTAATCTCAGGTTAGAGGCTGTAGTTTGAGTTGAATCCCAGATTGAGTTTAATCTCAGGTTAGATACTGTTTTAGCTGTAGTTTGAGTTTAATCTCAGATTGAGTTTAATCTCAGGTTAGACGCTGTAGTTTAAGTTTAATCTCAGGTTAGAGGCTGTAGTTTTAGTTTAATCTCAGGTTAGATACCGTTTTAGCTGTAGTTTGAGTTTAATCTAAGATTAGATGCTGTAGTTTTAGTTTAATCTCAGGTTATACTGTTTTAGCGGTAGTTTAAATTTAATCTCAGGTTAGAGGCTGTAGTTTGAGTTTAATCTCAGATTAGATGCTGTAGTTTTAGTTTAATCTCAGGTTAGATACTGTTTTAGCTGTAGTTTGAGTTTAATTCTAGATTAGATGCTGTTTTATCTGTAGTTTGAGTTTAATCTCAGATACACTGTTAATTTTGTACCTCCATCCTGGATCTTCACCTGTAGTTCCCACAAGGCATGTAAAGCGAGTGAATAACCACATTCACAAACACACTGCACAAGTGAAAAGAACAACATACACAACTTCAGCACAACTGTGTGCGTGTTCAGCTCTTTAAAGCTCTATGATCAGTCTGTTTTACAGAGGTGCACATATTCCTCACACAGATATCATATCTCATACATGATGTACAACCACGTATCTCCTTGAGACAGAAACAACAAATAAACAGCAACAAAAATAATGTCAAATAACATACAGGGAATCAAAACCTTCAAAGCCGTAACAACAAATACTTTTATTTGACTTCCAGGGAGAATACACACAGAAAGACAAATCTTCAGAAGAATTTTAACACTTCCATAAGATGAACTTTACTTTCTAAACATACTTTGCTGATCTCATAAGATAACAACCTGACATCAAACATTAATAGTAGCTATTTGACAATAAACCGCTCAACAGGGCATATAAATATCAAGACTAATAATAAAGATTGAATTAGAGGCTCAGTCACACTTATTGTTATAAAAACAGCAGTTATGAGCAGAAATACATACGGCTTCTCCGGTACAGGAACGAGAGGCAGTGCTGGAACTTTCTGTGTGTGTGTGTGTGTGTTCATGCTTACAGGACTCTTTGTGCAGGCCAGGACAATAGTGTTCTGTGAGTGTGTGTGTGCTGTGCTGGATGGACAGTAGATCTATTATCTTACATTACAGCACATTCTTGCATGATGATAACACACTACGAATGTGTGTTTAAATGTATTATTGTAAGGTTTAGACTAGAGTAACAGAAGTGGCCTTTGAAACAGTAACAACAAATCCAATCAAAATGGATCATTATCATCTTAAAGATAAAGATAACTTTTTTTTTTTAAAGATAGAGAATAGTATTATTTACAGAAAACGTTGGTCATCTCTCCTGATAATATATAAAGGTTTATATTTATTCATTTTCCAGGTATTTTGATCCAGATGTTTTTTTCGGAGATGTTCCCCTAATTATGATCATAAACAGCGAGAATGAGATGCAGGTTTGATAAAGACACTTGTTGTCTGTCAGAAGACACGCCCATCACGACACTGTAGGATTTTTAACAGAAGTGAGTGAAAGTCATCAGCGCTTTATTATTTTAATCTGGCAGAATGTTGTTATCTTATTTTATTTTTCAGAATGTTTTTGTCTCCGTCATTTGCGGGATTCTGTGTCGTCACTGTCGTGCACGCGCCTGCAGCTGTGCGCGTGTTGAGAAACGCTGGAATATCGCGGTGAGTTTATGACGATAATTATCACCTCGCATATGAATCATATCCGCAGAAACGACATGTGAATTAAACGCGCGTTTAGAGCGGAATCACCGGTTTCATCGCGAGGATCGATTGAGCTGTTCGAGATTCATGTTCAGATCAAACCTTTCTGTGAGGAAATCAGCTTCGATGGAGATGAAATGGTGTTCAGTCCTGTGTGTGTGTGTGTGTGTGTGTGAGAGAGAGAGAGAGAGAGAGAGAGAGAGAGAGAGAGAGAGAGAGAGAGAGAGAGAGAGAGAGAGAGAGAGAGAGAGAGAGTGTGTGTGTGTGTGTGTGTGTGTGTGTGTGTGTGAGAGAGAGAGAGTGAGTGAGTGAGTGTGTCTGTGAGAGAGAGAGTGAGTGAGTGAGTGTGTGTGTGTGTGCGTGTGTGTATGAGAGAGAGAGTGTGTGTGTGTGTGTGTATATGTGTATGAATGTAGAATATCTGTAAATGGTTTTCTCATGGTCTGCTCCGTGTGTGTGTCTCCAGATCAGCGCTGAATCTCCCAGTGACTCCCGGTTTTCCTCAGTCATGATCGGCTCGATCCGCATTAATGTGGGAGGATTCCGGCGCCGGCTTCTCTCCACTCGACTCTCCCGTTTCCCCGAGACCCGACTCGCTCGCTTGCTGAGCTGTCGATCCAGGGAGTCGATCCTCGAGCTGTGCGACGACTACGACGAGTCAGAGAGCGAGTTCTACTTTGACCGTAATCCCACGCTCTTCCCGTACGTCCTGCACTTCTACAACACGGGAAGACTTCACGTCATGGAGGAGCTCTGCATCTTCTCCTTCAGTCAGGAGATCGAGTACTGGGGCATCGACGAGCTGTTCCTCGACTCCTGCTGCAGGTTAGAGGCTGTAGTTCGAGTTTAATCTCAGGTTAGAGAGGCTGTAGTTCGAGTTTAATCTCAGGTTAGAGAGGCTGTAGTTCGAGTTTAATCTCAGGTTAGAGAGGCTGTAGTTCGAGTTTAATCTCAGGTTAGAGGCTGTAGTTCGAGTTTAATCTCAGGTTAGAGAGGCTGTAGTTTGAGTTTAATCTCAGGTTAGAGAGGCTGTAGTTCGAGTTTAATCTCAGGTTAGAGAGGCTGTAGTTCGAGTTTAATCTCAGGTTAGAGGCTGTAGTTCGAGTTTAATCTCAGGTTAGAGGCTGTAGTTCGAGTTTAATCTCAGGTTAGAGGCTGTATTTCGAGTTTAATCTCAGGCTAGAGAGGCTGTAGTTTGAGTTTAATCTCAGGTTAGAGAGGCTGTAGTTGGAGTTTAATCTCAGGTTAGAGAGGCTGTAGTTCGAGTTTAATCTCAGGTTAGAGGCTGTAGTTTGAGTTTAATCTCAGGTCAGAGGCTGTAGTTTGAGTTTAATATCAGATTAGATGCTGTAGTTTGAGTTTAATCTCAGGCTAGAGAGGCTGTAGTTTGAGTTTAATCTCAGGTTAGATGCTGTAGTTTGAGTTTAATCTCAGGTTAGATGCTGTTTTATCTGTAGTTTGAGTTTAATCTCAGATACACTGTTAATTTTGTACCTCCATCCTGGATCTTCACCTGTAGTTCCCACAAGGCATGTAAAGCGAGTGAATAACCACATTCACAAACACACTGCACAAGTGAAAAGAACAACATACACAACTTCAGCACAACTGTGTGCGTGTTCAGCTCTTTAAAGCTCTATGATCAGTCTGTTTTACAGAGGTGCACATATTCCTCACACAGATATCATATCTCATACAAAGCCGTAACAACAATACTTGTATGTGCCTTGCAGGAGCAGCTTCCACTGCCGGAGGATGGATCCGGATCAGGACCGGGACGACGGGAGTGAAACCAGAAGCTCAACCTCATCGTTTGACGAGATCATGGAGTTCTACAGCGACGCCGGGAAATTCGACAAGCAGCTTCTAGGGAGCGTTCGCCGGAGAATCTGGTTAATGCTGGACAATCCCGGATATTCCCTTCCCAGTCGCCTCATCAGTGTCTTCTCCATCCTGGTCCTGTTGGGCTCCATCGCCAGCATGTGCATGAACAGCATGAGCGAGTTCACTCGGGAAGATCCGCGCTTCCAGACCGTGGAGAATTTGGGAATCGCCTGGTTCACTTTCGAGCTTCTGGCTCGACTCTCCGTGGCTCCGGATCTCCTCCGATTCTTCGGACACCCGCTAAACCTGATCGATCTGGTGTCCATCCTACCGTTCTATCTGACGTTAGTGATTGATCTGGTTGCGGAGAGCAGTCCTGCGCTGGCTAATCTGGGAAGAGTCGCGCAGGTGCTCCGGTTGACCAGGATCTTCCGGATCCTGAAGCTGGCTCGCCACTCCACGGGCCTCCGGTCTCTGGGAGCCACGCTCCGGAACAGCTATCGGGAGATCGGGCTTCTCCTGCTGTATCTCTCCGTCGGAGTCTCCTTCTTCTCCGTCATGGCCTACACCCTAGAGAAGGAGGAGAACGAGGGATTGAACACCATCCCGGCCGGCTGGTGGTGGGCCACGGTTAGCATGACCACTGTGGGATACGGAGACGTCATTCCCGGATCCGTCGTGGGAAAGCTCACGGCGTCGGCCTGTATATTAGCGGGAATACTGGTCGTGGTGCTTCCCATCACGCTGATATTTAATAAGTTTTCCCTGTTCTATAAGAGGCAGAAGCAGCTGGAGATCATCATGAGGAGCTGCGAGTTCGACCGGGGAATGAAGGAGCCTCCGTCTGTCAGTCTGAGGAATTATTACGCTCATAAAGTCAAGACGCTGATGGCCAGTCTGTCCAACATGAGCCGCAGTTCTCCCAGCGATCCCAGTCTGAGCGGCTCTCTGCGCTAGCGGTGCCGTCTGCCTCACGTGTTGTACGTCTGCACGCACGGACTGAGCTCGGTCCGGTTGATGAATCTGGATGTAGTGTGTACATGACCCCTGAACATGTGATCAGGTTGATGTGTGTGTTTATATGTCACAAGCTTAAATCGGGA